GTAAGATTTTAAGTAAGTGTGATGCAAAAGTTACCAGTGACTGTTAGGTAACCACAAGCATTTCTTAATTATTATTTTCTTTAGTTTACGACTGGAATTGTTTGTGTTCGTCATCTTTTTTTTTTTTTGTAGAAAGGCAAGTCAGTTACAGTTTTGTATTTATTACTAGCAAATATCAGACAACCACAAGCACTTATTAATTATTATTTCCTTTAGTTTATAATTAGTAAACTGAAATCATTCATTTTTTGTGAAAAGGCAAGTCAGTTATAGTTTTGTGTTTGTTATTAGTGAATATCAGTTAACTACAAGCACTTACTAATTATTATTTTTTCTAGCTACAATTGTTGAACTAGAATCATCACATTTTCTGTTATTTGTATTTTTTTTTTGTGGAAAGATATGTTAATTATAGTTTTATGTTATTAGCGAATATTAGATGACCAGAAGCATTTATTCATTATTATTTTTTTAGCTTACAATTGTTGAACTAGAATCGCTATTAGTTGTAGTAATTATTTTTTTTTTGAAAAACAAGTCAAATACAATTTTATGTTACTAGCAAATATCAGGTAACTACAAGACACTTATTAACTATTACTTTCTTTGATTTACAATTATTGGTCTGAAATTGTTCGTATTCGATATTATCTTTTTTTTTTGTATATATAAAGGCAAACCAATTACAGTTTTTATTTGAATACTTAGCTATATCTAAATTTTGTTACTATAACTTGAATACAGTATTAAAAGTTTTATTCTTTAAATAGTTGTAATGGAGCTAGAAATTGTTGGTCCTTTGTCTAAAAATATTTTATCTACAAGTATTTCATTAGTATCCCAGATATCTAAATCTACTTTATAACAATCTATAAGTTTAACTACTTCGAATAATGAATTAGAGTATATAACTGATAAGTTTGATAAATAATCAGATGATAAGTTTGGTAAACAATTGGTGCTTTATGAAGGTAAATATTTATAGTTCTTGATTTAAGAATTAGAAGACAAATCTTATAGTATTGATATTGTTAGAACAAGTTTTTCAAACTATTGAAGAAACTTATTTTATGGTTAAATCATTTGCTTATTTAAATGGATTCGGGATCTGAAAAGGACGTATTGAAAAAGATTCAAATAGTGTATATGAGATTTCAAAATCATTTATATATCATCATACTGGAAAACTACTAAATCAAAAAGAATCACACAAAAAAAAAGTACTAGCTTATACCGAACTAATTGTAAATAGAAGATTAATATTTATTAAAATAAGCAATTAAGCAGTTATTATATTTTCACCTTTACAAATACTTATACTGGCCATATACTTGACCCAGCCACTATACAATTTATTCCTAAAAATTAAAAGTTTATCAAGGAGATATTAAAAGATATTGAGTTTTATACTTTATCTAGAAAGCTCAATACAAGTACTTAATATAGACTTCTTTTAAAAAAGTACAAAGTTTTGATTCATTATAGCAACTTATACAATATAATTACAAAGGTCAAAAAAATAATCTTATATAGTAATAATGATATTATCAAAATTAATTAAACAAAAAGAGAATGATTCAAGATAGGTTATTTAGTAGCATTTGATTCAAATACTAATGCTTTAATATATTTTTTTTGGATGTTTCTGAATCAACTTGATTTTTGGATATAGTATAGCAATATTATTCTTTATGATAACATAGCAAAGATAATCATTTATAATATGCTATTGTCTCTCTTCGTTATTATAGATATCACTCACTGATCTTACCTCATTACACAAACAATATTAGATAATAAAACAGCAGAATCATATTTCTAGTTACTTGAAGTTCTAATTAAAGCTACTGAAGGGCTTTATCTAAATACTATTTTAACAAATGCTAATTCTGCTATGACCCTCGTTATCTCTACTATTTTACTTTCAACTCAGCATCTTTATTGTATTTGGTATATTAGCCAAATATACAATAAACCTTAAGAGCAAATTAGGTTCTGATTAGAACTCATTTATTAAAGATTTCTATAAAACTTGCAATATATTAGATCTACAAATATTTGAAGATCAGTTTAAATCTTTGAAAGAATGTTATCCAAAAGCTATATTATACTTTAATAAGGCTTTATATCCTGATAAGCAAGGTTGAACAAGGGCCTATACTTTTCATCATTTCACTGCCAGTACACAAGCAACAAGTCATGTTGAGTCAATTAATTCACATATTAAATCTATTATATATCATAGTTATACAACTCTTTACAATTTATTTAACTTATTTGATTCTTTAATCACTAGTCAAGACAATTATTATGATTTTATTAGTTGAAAGTCATCAAATCTAAATATTAAACTACCAAACATTTGTAATACTATATATTCAAATATTGATACTATTTTCAAGACCTTCATTGCATCTAATCTGATTAAAAAATTTTACTATAAAATTAACCATAGCTTATTTTACTATTTAACTAAAATTAACTCTGAATCATTGTATTCGTGTCAAATAAATAATTATTTTTATTGTATTATATAGGTTGTATTTATTTTTACTAATAATTATTCAATGATCTTTATTAATTGACAGTTTATTTTACCAATAACCAGTCTACTAACAATATATATATTTGGTAAAATAATTGTTAGTAAACTTGTCGATAAAATAAGCTTATATATTAGCAAAGCAATTATTAATATTAAATACAAGATGACAATGCTACATTTATTGATAATGTTTTTGATTATCTGTTAGCTTATTCTCTTGCGCTCTTCTAACAAGTTAAGAATAAAGTAGTCGAAGTTTGGAAAGTGATATATATGATCTGGCAACATTCTTGACTTCACATATTTTTATTTTCAGATGGCTCTTTTATATACAGCTATATATTACTAATTAATTATAAGTATCCTTGTAGACATTTTTTTAGAGTAATGGTATATTCTTTAGCTGCCAAATTTTTAATTAATTTCATGACAAAGTGTTGGTTGCTTGAAAAATACCAAGATAAAGATCTTGGTATACAACTTTTTGTAAATTTATCCACAGTTTTTTTGTTAGAATCATCTGAAACATCAACTCCAATTACTATATTATTATCAAATGAATTCTCAAGTTTATTTTCTGTGTCAAGTGAAATTTCTACTATGACTCGTCTTTTATTATCTGTTACTGCTAAAAAGGCAATACAGAAAAAAAAATTTATGCTAAGACTATTGAAATTGCACGAAAAGCTTTAATATTGCTATTGAAAAATGTTTTTAAGTATTTAAAAAACTATATTCTTCAAAATGAATACTCTCTAGTTAAGAATATAATCAAAATATCTGCCTCTAGTCATAAAACAAGTATATTCGAAGAATGTTCTGAACCAAATGTTATTATTAAGAAT